GGGGGGGGGGGAAGTGAGCGAGCAGCCTTGTGGTGCTTTGTTGCTGGCTGGGCTTAAACCACACCCCATCTTTACTGTCTCCAGAAGGGGATAGCCCTTTTTGCATGTTTGTTTCTATTTCTTTACCTTAAACCAGCTCTGGACACTGGTCTAATAACTCTGCTGGAACAACTCCTAGCCTTTCTTAATATAGAAACCATATAGAAAGAACAGTTCCAGTCTCTTCCTCCTGAGACTAGCTGTGGAGCAGTGGGCTGAGGGAAGAACTTCTTGCTACTTATATAAATTTGATGAAGACAAGAGGTATAGATGGCACGGTGGTGCAAGTTGTCTGGGTGATGTTCTGGTCTTGTCAGTCCAAGAAGTGGTGCTACTGGGCAGAGACTCAATGGGCAGAAGCCAGTAGTAGTTAATTTACCATGCCCTAACAGTGCCAAGTAACCTACATAACATGGGTATTAGGAAGTTGGGTTTTAAGGATACCTCTGCCACTGGAATCATTTTTACAGGATAAAATCAACCCAGCCAAGTTGTGTGAAAAGTAAAAGTGGGAAAAGAGACATAAGACAGTAGATAAACCGGTATGTAGATACAGGTACCAAGACTTCAGCCTCTCTGTGTACTGTTGTACTGACAAAACAGTTCTGCTCTACTTTTTAAGTCTTCAGTTTTTACTCTGTTTACTCCAACATTGCAGGGAGACAGTGATTTACCTTTTACTTGCATTTTAAACTGATGTAATTAATAGCTGTATTACTGCTATTACAGTGCTGTATTCAAATATTCCTTGTGTCTGTTAGCTACTTTGAACAGTATTGTTTCTGTATTTAAAAGAAATCTTCTCAGTGTCAGTCTCTTGCTTCTCTTATTATTTTATTAGTTATGTAGCTATCACACTCCCAACAGTGGAATTTGCTCCATAAACTTTAACTGACTTGTTTTTTCCATCACTGACTACATTTAAAATGCTGGACTCATGAGCTTCCTGGCCAGATATTCCTTTGTTGTGGACCAAACATATTCCAGGGAAAGACAGTCTTCAGATCAATCTTCAGCCTGGAAATGGATATGCATTGGAGTACCATAGAGTCATCAGGTTTTAGCTTGTTGCTATTCATAGTATTCTGTGTAAATGATTTGGATGAGCGTACTGAAAGTAAGAATTGGAAATCTGCAGATGGTTCTAAAATTGAAAGCATAAAATAATGCAGTGAGATTCTATCAGATTTTGATTTATTAAGTAACTGGGCCACGAGAGGGCATGTGCTGTTTAACAAAGGCAAAATGAAAAACTAATTAATCTGGCAATAAAAGATTTTAAACTGCCAGATGAGACAGTTGGCACAGTAATCAGAGAAAAGGTTAAATAATGTGAATGAGGAAATCAATATGATTCAACTGAAAGTTGGGGAAAGGTTTATGTCCCTGCTGTTCAATTTCCTTGAATTGATAATGCTGGCATTAGGAAAGAAGTATGCTTTAATGTATACTGTATTTATATTTGCATTTCATCCTACACTTTGTATTACAGGGGTTTCTTAAAGTCCAAAAGGAAGAAAAGGGCCCCTTGTGGTAGGCACTACGGAAATCAACAGCAGACAGCCAGTTGCTTAGAAGTCTCTAGTGAAAATAGATGAGAAAGAGGATGAGAGAGGTATAAAAAGGTAAAAGGTGATTTGACCAAAGTGCATGCTATGCTTAAGAAAAAAATCAGGAGGAAAAAAACAATTTTCCCTACTTCTAGTCCAGTCAAATGTGCCTCTTGCACTTGACTGGCTGAATATGTGGCCTCTCATTTCATACGCGTGAAAAAGAGAAAGATCTTCAAATTCAGTTCTATTCATGAACTGTGCTGCTGTCCTTGTTTTGCACATTCAAACATCATTAATCTCAGAGTACTGGAAGGAATCCCGCCCTAAAATCAGTTTTAAAGGATATCTATAGCTCCATCAATATTGAAGCCTATGAAGTTAGGCCCATATGGAGGAAAGATACTTGAACAGTTCTGATCTCATCAGTTAACAGGATAGTGATACACAAACTAGATTTCACAAGTTCTTTTACATTAATCAGTCACGAGTAATATACTCAAAGGTGCCTAACTGGTATATGATAGTAATTTTCAAATTGTTATCAGAAGATTGCTGCAGTGTAAAGATGACTTCCAAAGAATTCAAAAAACTAAGAAAAGCAAGTTAATGATCAGTAGATTCATTAGACAGGGTTTGCACTTTTATCAGTAAGCTTTTCTGAATTGGTGAATTGAAAAGATTGAAACCCACTGATTTAGAAAGTTAAGGTTCCCTTGAAAAGCAGGTCTAGGAAAACTATTAGTAGTTTTAGCTGCCTAAAATGCAGATAAAGCCAAAGAGTATACTTAAAAATGTCTAGTAGGCTAATTCCCAGGTATCTAAGTGTCTATGAGAGTTGATTTTATGTGACTTTTGAAATGGAACTTTGACACACTCTATAAATACAACTTAATCTTAGCATACAGTGCTTAAATTCTGCATCCAACAGCAATGTAACAATTCTGAGTCCTTCTGGGAATGAAGTGCTTTAAAGATATATAAAAAAAGTAAGAAAGACAGTTAATAGGCATCTTTGTTGACCATTGATGCAGAGAGGCAAAAGGCGCCCTGAACAAACATTTCACTTTGCAGTCCTAACTAAAATTACTTAGAGATGCTCATAAGAAAGAAGGATGCTGCTACCTACCCACAAGATAACAGAATTATTTGTGGAATATTTACAAAATTATTCAAAGTCACTTTATAAACTATTCAGCTTCTGCTTTATTTTTAAAGGTACATAAAACAATTAAGAATTGGCTTATTTGTGCTTTAAAGAAAATCAATGTTTTCAATTTTATTTCTGGTACTCAGACTAGTAATTAAAAATGTACTAGGTTCACAATCAAACCACCACCTGACTGTCCATGAACAGCAACTCAGTTTTGCTTTTCAAAGAACATACTTAGAAAATTTTAACAGATCAAGAACAGATGTGCAGAGAAAGTTACTTGATGGTATAAAGTCCTGTGTCAAGACTTACAAATAACTATGTACTTATATTCACTTACAGAAATATAAATATTTAGTTCCAAATTAATCTAAAAATGAAACTAATAACTATTCAAATATTAGTCTAATGAATTAATTAATGAGACATAAGTTTGCCAGATAACTTCTAGAAAGGTTAATAAGCTACTTAATGTCCTATATGAATTTAGTAACATTTAAAAAAAGCACAAACATTTACATATTTAAGTGGCTTCTAGATTTCATTTACCATACATGTCTTTCATACGTGCCTTGCAATATTGACACACCCTTGAGTTTGTTCAAGACCAGAATTTGGAAATTGCAAATCTGGCTATAGGGTCTCAATATAATCACATTAAGCTGAGATATCTCTGAAGACTAAGGACATCCAGGTCAGCAGTTCTGCAATGTTTTAAATCAGCCCTTTTTTTTTTTTCTCTTGTAATAACTTGGGACCTGTCTCTACCTTCTTAGACTTACTTTGCTTATAGCTTCCTTGGATTCTCTCACTTGTATATATACTTCCATGTTTTATTCTCCCCCCACAGCCAAACTATCCATGTTATTTCATCTGCATGCACCTATCAAGCCTTTGCAACGCTAGCACCAGAAAACTGGCTCAGGCTCCCAACAGTCTATTCCCTACCTCCAGACTGCAGCTTTTAACAAGATTTTTCTGCACAGCACTTGTCCCAGTCCCCTGAAATTCACCACACGTATACAGCAGTCCCCCCAGATCTCTTCAGTCTCCCTCTCCAGTTGCTTCTTGGGTATTTCCATCAAATCACGTCTCCTTTCTGCAGTGCTGTATCTCATGACCTGGCTCCATGAGCTGTCCAAGAAAAGAAGTGCAGCCCTGGCCCACAAGCTGGTGAAGCTGCCCCAGCCCTTGGCTCCAGCTCACTGCAGCTCACTGCAGAGATGGAGAGCAGTCCCCCACCAGCTCTCCAAATGACGTCACATATACGAGGGCAAGCCACTTGAACCACAACCTCTGGCCCTGTTCCCAAAT